CGAATTTCCAAACAGGCAGGTCTCTCGGTTAGCCCTCAGCCAAACAAAATTACTAAACTAACCCTACGGTTAGTGTACAGCCTCGCAGTCAATCTCGGCAGCAGAAATCAGCAAGTCATTGCATACCTAGGAACCTGTCTCTTATACACATCTAGATGTGTATAAGAGACAGGTTTGGCGGGAGGGGTGAGCAGGTGTGGTGGGCACAGGTCGAGTGTACCGGTGTTAGTTCGTGGCGGCTGCAGATCTCGGCTGGAATCTTGCATTCAGCTGCTGGCGGGTGCTGGAAGGGGTTTTGGCGACTAGAAGATGCGAGATTCTTGGGTCTCAATCCACCGGCTTTCTCGCGATGGGGGGCGTGGCTGGCTTGAAGATGTGGTTGAAGCTCTGGATCCGTCTTCTGTTCTCTCTCTCTCTCCCTCCCTTCCTCTCACTCTCTCCCTCTCTCTCTCTCTCCCTCTGTCTCTCTCTCTCTCTCCCTCCTTTCTCTGTGGTCGAAGTTCGGCTTGGTCCCCTGTAGTCTTTCCTTCGGGCGCGTAGGCTGGCCGACGTTAGTTCCTTTGGGGTCTCCTCCGCTGCGCGTGGCCGCGCGGTGGCGGGTGCTCTGGCTGGCGATGTGGCCTGCGGGTGTAGCGCGTGCGTTGGGGTGACGGCTTCTTCTGGGGCTCCTCCGTTGCCCGTGGCCGTGCGATGGCGGATGCGCTGGCTGGTGATGGGGCACGCGGGCAAGGCACGCGCGTCGGGGCGGGGGTCACTGCGTTTCAAATTCGAAATGAGCGTGGCGAGGGTGGCGTGGGCGCGAGCGCGTGAGCGCTAGCGCTACGGAGTTGCGCTAACCTGCGGCGCGGGCGCGTTGATTTTTCCTTTCAGAAATCCAATTCTTGCTGTTTCCTATAAATTCTGATTTGCACTTTCGAGGGACACGCTCTCACCACAAGCTGGGGGTGATCTTGTTCGAATGATAAGGGGGAGTCGCGCCGGTTGAGTGATTGGGGTTAAGTTGAAGACTTCCTTCGCCAGAGCAGTGAGCCTCCAGGGGTGTAGAAATCTGTGGAATTGCCGAGAGTGTCACTAACGTCCCCCAGATATTATCAGGGTGTTACACCTGTACTATTAAGCTCCGTGTTGCTATGCAGTGAGAGCACATAGCCATAGCACGGTGAGCTGATGCGAATGAGCGTGTGTGCTATATGAGGTACAATAGCCCAACTATGCCGTGCTAGCTAGCACAGTGAGAGCGTGCTGTGTGATCGCAGCGGAGACACAGTAACAGTGTGCTGTTTGATCACAACTGATTGGAGCTGTGATACATAAAATGCCAGGGAATCGGAATGAGGTCTTGACGTCACCGTAAATCTTAGCCAGGCTCTGAGCGTCAAAGAGATCAATCTATAGAGGGCAGTAAGGGACTGCCTGAGCTAATCTCAAACAACTCCTGGCGCAATCGTCACACCAACAACGATTCGCACAAGGTAGTGGTTGTGACCTTGACAGACTCCAGGAATAAGTTAAATCTGGACTGCGCAGAGTCAGCCAGACATCTCAACTAAGTTGGGGACTCAGCGAAGAGCTGTCTCAGCAAACAGGTGGCTCAGAAAGACTAGCAGACTTGTGGGCTCAGCGAACAACAGCTAAGAGAGTATCAACTCTGAGACAGCAGAGACAGTGACCCAGTCTTCGAGACTGAACCAGAATCTATCGAAAGCTTACAGACTCGAGGCCTAAATGATGAACAGTGGGCTTAAACAGCAAACACATAACAGGAAACACGAAGCAGTAAGCGTGGAAACTGCAGGCACCAGCGAGGCTTAGGAACAGCAAACCTCAGAAAATCTTGGCAAATAGCAGTTCACAGATTACAATCAGGAATCTGCCAAGATCAGGCTCCGGATCCGTTGGCAGACATCAACCACAAAAAAACAGTTCGTGGATGTCGGACGCCCGTGCTCTGACCCCTGAAGGCGGGCAACTGTCATTGACGCTGCAGGATGAGGTAAGGGACTCGGCGAACTGAACAAGGGCTCAGAGAGGACTCTGCAGCGAAGATCAGTGAACTCAGCAGTATGACAGCGGACTGAGCAAAAACTCAGTGAACTCCGTTGTTGGTTGGCTCAAACTCTTCTCATATTTGAAAAAACATATTCTGTTAACTCTGTTATTCGGTCGGGGATGGTAATGGTAGAATCAATGGGCTTGAGACTATGCCTCGGACACCGAAAGCTCTAGTATTGTACTTCAGGACCGACGGGCTCGCTACAGGCGACACACAATAGGGCATCGGATCAGGCGCAGGCTGCAGGTCCGCTCCGTCGGTACTCAAACTGAGGCTTCGGACATGGGTTTGGGACCTTGCTTGAGGTCAGGTTGCAGCGTCGTTGCCCTGGTCACCGTTGTCTAAATAGATTGACATTTCTATTTCTACTTCTTTTACTACATTGTCTTGTTTCCAGTCTCGTTACTGAGCTAACGCAGCAGTGGCTTTGCAGGTTGCAGGAGCCTGGAAATAGCCCTCCCGCGGGTGACAAACGTGGGGTGGACATAGGGTTAGATCTGCTGGCCGGCAAACTCCTTCTCCCAGTCGGTAACGCATGGATCATTTGGAGTTTCGCCTTCAATCCTCTAGTGACGTCCACAAAACGTTCTCGCAGTGCAGCGAAGAAATCGTTGAGGTTAGTAATGGCAGAATAAGCGACCATGTCATTTTCGCAGCGGGTGGCTTGTGTGAGAGCCTGGCGAAACTAGTTGCTTCGCCACTCAAGGCCTGAAAGCCTATCAGAACATGGTCGTTGGAAGGCATGTTTTGTAAATGCAGATACGATTTAATACTAGCCTCCCAATTATCGAAGTCCTCATCCCTTCTCCCACTATAGGACTCGGGGAAGCGAACTTTGACTCTCTCGCGGCGAGGTTGTGATTCTTCCTCCTTGGGGACTGCCAACTTGACACCCTCGATTGCACCGGTGCAAAACTTCTCTGACTACCGATTGCGGTCTGCATTTCGTTTACGAGATGAATCATCATCTTCTAGGCAAAGTCGTGGAACCCGGCTCGTATGGATTCAAGTGCTATATCATGCCCACGAAGGTGCCTTATCTGTTCTCCTTGAGCTGCCGGAACAGAGGCCATACTATGGGAGCAGGTGTCAATCCTTTTTCCGATCTCTCTCTTCTTTCATCTTACCCAGCCGCTCCTTCGCGGCCTTCAATTCCTCCTCCATCTTATCTGCCATTTCCAACCGTCTCGTTTTTTCCTTCGCGAGGCGCAACTTCCACTCCAACTGCTTCTCCTACTCTTTTTCCTGACGACGCAGGGGACTCTTTTCTCTCTCCAACTCTCTTCTTATTGTTTCTCTTTCTCCCTGGGGGCCAGCCAACTCTTCTTCCCTATCTTCCCCCAGGGATCTTCCTGCCACCCATTCCTTCATAGCCTTCTCCACCTCTTTCGGTGGGGGTAGACCTGTACTCAATTCTCCTCTCTCCTCCTTCCTTTCTTTTGGGCCCTTCACTGCTTCCTTCTCTCTCCTCCTCTGTAACGGGGCCCCCTCTTCTTCGCTTTCTTCTTCCTCTTCTTCTTCTTCTTTGGCCAACTTCGCCTCCTGTTCCTTCTTCCACGCCTCCATCTCCTCCTCCATCTTTGTCTTCTTGGCCGCTTCTTCTTCTAGCAAGGTCAACTTCTTGGCCTGTTTCTCCATAGCTTTCTTCTCCTTTCTCTCCTTCTGCTCCCGAAGAATCGCGGCAGTCTTCTCCTCTTGTCCTTTACTATACGGACGAGTCTGGAGTCCAGACTGGGTAGTCACATCACAGCGAATGGTCCGCCAAAATCGCAACGGAAAGAGGAAGTGGAGCAAGGGCCCCCAAAGGGAGAGACCCATTATGCAGGCGAACATGGGGTAGTCATCCATGTTGGACGAGGGCACAATCACAAGCGATTCCGCTCCTCAACACTTAGACCAACCCACCTAGACACTTACCGCTTAGAGGAGTACATAGGTTCTCGAGGCTACCACTTTCATCGGATGCTTTCGCAACCATAGTCCAATCTTTCCACAACCGTCGGATGCCTGTGCACCCACACTTCAATCCTGCCTGGCTTTGGCTTCCAATTGTCCCTCTGTCAACTACTCGAGACTATACTGTTACTAGTCTGTCACTACGGAACTACTGGCTGATCAGGAGGCATTTAAGGAGATTCCCCATAACTCCTCAGGAATTATTTAACGTCGCAGTCAGGACGACAATCACAGCCAGAGTTCTCCCAAGACTAGACAGACTGGATTCGCGATCTGCAGCTCTGAGTTCAGGTATAGTGTACCACCCAGAGGAGCCTACCGGTCTGTACCGGTCCTTGGGGGCTTTTCCCTAGGTTGTCTAGCGTCAAATGCACGGCACCCCTACTAAGTTCCATGCAGGCGTCGCCCCCTCAGCCTCTATCAGACTACATGCATGGAACCTACAACAACCTGGACAGGTGTGACTCGGTGCAGAAAGACATGACGGACTCTACAAGACAAACTTGACTGCAGCAAGTACCAAGATGAGTATGCAACATCCGCAGAGCATAAAAGGACACGGGTCAGGGCTTGAAGAGATTGAAATGCTCCTCACTCCGTACTCCAAGCTTGGTCAAGGGCCAACTTAGTCAACCGTGCTGGTCAACGCTCGCCGGTCAACTCTCACTGGTCAACTCTCACTGGTCAACTCTCACTGGTGAACTCTTTGACCATCCGGCTCTGGTGGCTTTCTCTCTCTTCGTCTCCTTCGTTTACTTCACCCTCTTCTTCTTCGTCCTCGGGCTTGGCTATGGCCGATTTCTTCTTCTTCTTCGTCGGCTATGGCTGCTATCACCTTCTTCTTCGTCAACTCTCTCTTCTCTCCCGTCACTTTTTCTTTCGTTGTCGATCTTCTTCTTCTCCAAGCTGACAGCTATGACTGCCGTCTGCTATAGCGGTCTTCTTCCCGCTGAGTCTCATCATCATCTCCTTCTTCGCGTCATCATCTGCTATAGCGTGTCTCTCTGAGTCTCATCATCATCTCCTTCTTCGCGTCAGTCGGCTCCTTCCTCCTCTTCGACCTCGCGATGCTTGCGCAGACAACGGGAACCTGCTCCAATACCACTGCAATCACTCTTGTCTTCACCTCACGTTCAACATGCATACATGCAGCTGGCGATGGTGCAGTGCGCCCACACAAAAAACTCAGAGATATGGCCTTTGGCTAGGAACTCAGCGCAAAACAACTTGTCACATCTCATGGCTCTGGCATTTGAGCGGCAGTCTGAAATTCCCACCCGAACACTGTATCCACCGTCAGACACACTCACACGCACGTTTGCACATACACACACGCTAACTACTAACTTGTCACACTGGCGGCTACGGCCGACGTCGTCGTCCTCCTCTCTAGTGGCTATGGCCACTTGTCCTCTTCCACCTTCGGGCTCTCTTGGTGACCACCGGTGAACTCAGCACACAAGTCACTCGAGCAGCGGTTCCGCATAGTTCCCCAGATAATGAGTGAATGACTGATCGCTGCCTCTTTATTTATACTGTTTCGTTTGGTGGTATGGGCCTGCCCGATGTCCGAGGCCCTCAAGATGTGCAGTCCCACTCTGGCACTTGCTGCAAAACGGACTGGACTGGGACTGCCCTTTCACTTACCCCTTCGGTGTTGAATTGGGACTCTTGACCTTTCAGAGATCAACGGACTGCCCTTTCAGCCTACGAGGGGTCAAGTTGACTCTTCGAGCACTACTCTAGCCATGACCTACTGACCTTTCAGAGGACGTATGGCCAGTTGTCCTTTCGAAAGGTCAACTATAAATTTGCCATTTTAGGGAACTTACGGATGACCCTTAAGACTTCTAAACAAGTAACCGACGGATCAAATCCACACGACCCAAGCTGCACACACAAAACATTTGTACACGGTTTTAGGGACAGGTCGCGGGCTCAAATCACACAGGGTCAACGTGCAACTATACAGTGGGCTAGAGAAGGTCTGGGGATCGAGTCCTGGTATCTGCAATGTTGCGCGAACTGGGTGAAACCCTTTCAGAACCCGAATCCAATTGACCTCTCCCCATTTCTAGCCATGACCTCTAGACTACTGGACCTAGACCTAGGACAGACCGAACAACACAGGCGTACAGTTTCCGGTAACGGTACCCGTACCAGGCAGCAGTATGGAAGACCTTGGGCCTGGGACTGTTACAAAATTGTAGAAAAGTCCCTGTAGGACTAGGCCTGTTTCGTTACTGGTTAGGACCCAGAAGTTAGAAAATTTACAGAAGTCCTACTAGTGTTACAGCTCGTTGGAAATCTGCAAGTTCATTGCACAGGGATGCCTTTTCCTTCTTGCGAATTCCTCTCAGGCTACCAGTATGTAGGCTATCAGCTCTGCAACAAGTCGTAGACTCTCTCAAAGCTTGAAGGTGTTATCAACCACTCTGACCTGTGTTGTTCCTTGTATCCATCTGATGCTCTCGTCTTTGTTTCAACCTGATGAACCATTTTTTAAGCAATTGTCAAAGCATCTTGTTTGATATTAATTTTAAAGCAAAATCTTGACAAGTATCCGAGCTCCTAGTTGAAGAGGATAGCTCATGGCAAGCCACCACTGCCAAATTCCTATAGCCTTACGGGCATTGCTGATTTCACAGGGCAGCTTCAGCTAGCAGAAGTAGTTTTTCTTGGAAGACCTCGAATTTAGGCCGGCGGGAGTGAAAAGATTCAATGCACTGCTGCAGTGCGGCCCCACTACCGTGTCCCATTCTCTTTTGTACCTTCGGGCTGAAGTAGAACTTTCCAGTAGAAACTGTACAGGACGAAATAGAGATTTGATAGGATAAGGCTGGTAGTAACAGTAGAAGTCCCTACCGTCTTCACCCGAATAGAACGCCCGATCATTATCGCTGCATCTGGACGGAAAGTTGTGCCAAATACAGCTATAATGACCGGGCGTTCTATTCGGGTGAAGATGGTAGTACCTGTCAAGCCCAGGTCAAGTTGCAGCTCAGTCCCAGGGGACGCCCACGACAGACCGAATCTCGCTGCCGTGGTCGGGCCTGGCAGGAAGGGTCCAGAGCCATGTGGGAGGCACAACACATTCACAAAAAGGAGGCCAGTGCCAAGAACCTCCTTCTGTGATTCAGTCAAGTGCAGAAGGGCTGCAGTATTGTTGTGCTCCAAGATCCTGGATGGTGAACAGTGTCTGACGAGGGAGAAGGCAAGGGCACAGGACGCCATAGCCGTAGTATAGCACTGTAGCGAGGGAGAGAGTGGCGGGGACATTCAGAGAGTGATCGCAGGACCTGGAGGAAGTGTGTGTGTGTGTGTGTGTGTGTGTGTGTGTGTGTGTTATGAACTTGGTTGTTTGACACTTGGATTGCCACTCACACCTTACAGAACTCACACATGCCCATACATGCACAAGTCAGGGGGAGGAAGAGACAGAGTCCACCTGCACACACATCAGAGATAAGCAGYGAAATARCAACCATGCACARATGGGGAGAATACACACACARTGTTCTCTCTCTCTGATGAACTCCCAACAACCAATCACAATTGACACTGTGAAGATCACAATCGGAAAGTAACCCAGATGATGAGCCAACTCCACACAATTAACCCCAATAATCGTTACAGAGTTTAACCCAGTGTCTCGCCACT